CAATCAGTACCTGGGAAGATACTAGAAAAAAAATAAAAAAACCAGATCTGCGAACAGCTAGAAACAAATAAAGTTATAACTAGTAGCCAGCACGGGTTTGTTAAAAACAGATTATGCCAAACCAATCTTATTTCATTCTTTGACCAAGTGACTAAATTAGTAGACCAGCGAAATGCTGTGGACATAATATGCTTAGACTTCAGCAAGGCATTCAACAAAATAGACCTCAACCTATTTTTTGGTACACTAGAAAAATGTGAGATAGACAGCATCACCACCAGATGGATTTGTAACTTGCTGACAAACCGTACTCAACAAGTAGTCCTTAATGGTACTATATCTACCTGGAGGGACGTAAACAGTGAGGTACCACAAGGTTCCATCTTAGGCCCAGTACTCTTCAATATCTTCATAAATGACTTAGATGAAGGAATAGAAGGGGAACTCATAAAATTTGCATATGACACTAAGCTGGCAGGAATAGCCAACAGAAGACAAGTTCAGAATCCAAAAAGATCATGACAGACTTGAACAATGGACCCTATCCAACAACATGAAATTTAATCTGGAGAAAAGCAAGGTTTTACACCTATACAGGAAAAATCCAAGGTGCCAGTACAGATCAGACGAAACCTGGCTCAAAAACAATAACTGTGAAAGGGACCTTGGAGTCCTAGTGGACAATCACTTAAACATGAGCCAGTAGTGTGCGGCAGCAGCCAAAAAAGCTAACACAATCCTTGGTTGTATAAACACGCATAGAATCAAAATCACATGAAGTATTGGTACTATTTTATAAATCCTTAGTAAGACCACATCTGGAATACTGTATCCAGTTTTGGTCACCACATTATAAAAAAGATATTGAGACTTTGGAAAAAGTGCAAAGAAGAGCAACTAAGATGATAAAGTTCTGAAGACAAAAACATATGACGAACAGTTGCAGGAATTGGGTATGGTCAGTTTAGAGAAAAGAAGAACTAGGGGTGACATGATAGTAGTATTCCAGTATTTGAGAGCCTGCCACAAAGAAGAGGGGGTCAACTTATTTTCCAAAGTACCAGACAGCGAGGCAAAAAACAATGGATGGAAACTAATTACGGAGACAAGCAACCTGGAGTTAAGGAGAAACTTCCTAACAGTGAGTACAATAAACTAGTGGAACAGCTTGCCTTCAGAAGTTGTAGATGCTTCATCACTGGAGGTTTTTAAGAAAAGACTGGACAGCCAACTATCTGAAACGGTATAGGGTCTCCTGCTTGAGCAGGGGATTGGACTTGAAGACCTCCAAGGTCCCTTCCAGCTCTATTCTGATTGATTGATAGCACCACTTTACACTGCCCTGGTGAGACCACACTTGGAATACTGCATCCGGTTCTAGTCACCACAATACAAAAATTATGTTGAGATCCAGAAAGGGTGCAGAGGAGAGCAAAAAACAACAACGATAAGGGGTCTGGAGGCTAATTCATATGATGAATGGTTGAGGGACCTAAGTATATATAGCCTATCGAAAAAAAGAATTAGACGAGACCTGATAACTGTCTTCCAGTTTTTGAGGGGCTGCTGCAAAAAGAGGGGATTGACTTATTATCTAGGGCAGTGGTCCCCAACCCCTGGTCCGTGGACCAATACCAGGCCGTGGCATGCCAGCAACCGGTCCGCACAAACAAGCAAAGCGAGATACAGGCAGCACACAAAACCATGCCCCCTCCGGTCGACGGAAAAAACTCTCTCCAGGGAACCAGTCCCTGGCGCCAAAAGGTTGGGGACCTCTCATCTAGGGCACCAGAAGTCAGGACAAAAGGCAACAGGTGGAAACTTGTCAAGGAGAGATCCAACTGAGAAGTAAGCAGAAATTTTTTGACAGTGAGAGCAATTTATCAATGGAATAGCTTTCCTCCTGGGGTTGTGGGTGCTCCATCACTGGAGGATTTCAAAAAAATAGGCTGGATATCTACGTATTTACCTCCGAGACCGCCTTCTGCCACAGATTTCCTCCCATAGACTGGTACGCTCCCACAGAGTGGGTCTCCTCAGGGTGCCGTCGGCCAAACAATGTCGGCTGGCGACCCCCAGGGGGAGGGCCTTCTCTGTGGGTTCCCCCACCCTCTGGAACGAACTACCCCCCGAGATCCGGACGATTCCGGATCTCCTTACTTTCCACCGCGCCCTCAAGACATGGCTTTTCCAGCAAGCGGGCCTGACCTAGGGAGGATTTTACTTAGGGATGATTTTAAGAATAATTTTAATAGGAATAACAGCTTCTAATATTTGGTTTTTAATTTGGTTTTACAGGGGTCTATATTTTTTGTATTTTGTATTTGTACTTGTTTTAATATGCTGTGCACCGCCCTGAGTCCTGCGGGAGAAGGGCGGTATATAAATTAATAATAATAATAATAATAATAATAATAATAATAATAATAATAATAATAAGGCTCCTGCCTTCAGCAGGGTGTTGGACTAGAACAGTGGTGGTGAACCTATGGCACAGGTGCCAGAGGCGGCACTCAGAGCCCTCTCTGTGGGCACACGTGCTGTCGCCCCAGTCCTAGGCCTTCAGCTGGGTTTTATAAAACCTTTTTGCTTTAGGCCTCCGCCGCCGTGTGCAAAAAAAAAAAAAGGTTCAATCAGTCAATTTCAACTTCTTGCCGGAAAGAAAAAGATCTCGCCGGAAAGAAAAAGTTGGAACTGATTGATTGAACTTTTTAGTCCCACCCAGTCTGCCATTACCATCGCAGCCACGCCCACCCAATGGGCCACACCCACCCAATGGGCCACACCCACCCGGCACTCGACGATGCATACGTGGGTTTTGGGTTGCAGTTTGGGCACTCAGTCTCTAAAAGGTTCGCCATCACTGGACTAGAAGATCTCCAAGGTCCCTTCCAGCCATATGATTTCTGTGAACATGTACACAAAAATACAAGGTCATTTCCAATGGAGAGGCAATTACTGACAGATGTTCTTGAATAGTCCAGATGCAAGTATGGCTCAGTTATGGGCATTGCATCTTTGCTTCTTGAGGAGCCAAATAGTTTGTCTTTGTATGGTTCTCCAAAGGTGCCAATGCATCTTGTATTGGGCACCCTCTTCACTTGACCTTTTCTGCTGCTGCTGCTGCTGCTGATGATGATGATGATGATCTGCCGAGTCAACTTCCTTTGGTGCATTGACAACCAGTTCCTAAGACTAGCAACTCCTTTGAGATCCAGAGACTGAAGGGCCTGATCCAGCAAGTTGCCAGTCTTAGACTCCTTATGAGGGAGAGGAGTTCATAATTTATTAGTATAAATTATAATAAATAATAGTGTTATGGAGTCCATAAAAGTCACTTTTGTTATAATTTATATTTATAATATAACCTAAGGTTGTAAAATGTAAGAGCAGTTAAGATCTATGGCTTTGTCTTTATGTGAATTTGTTGTCATATTCTGCAAGATCTTACTATTTGATATTATCACAATTGATGCCTTTTATTCTCATTCCCTCCCTCCAAATGGTAAAGAAACAATTACAGTTTTCATTCTGACATTACTAGTAATGAGCTTAAAAATGAAATTATCTTTTTTATTTGGGAGTTTACATCCATTGCAGCACATTTACATTTGCCAGTAATCTGTTTAACTTGGGTGTTTAGAAATCTCATGCAGTCACATATCAGCTATTAACACCATCTATCATCTCCTAAAACATGAGAAGACACAGAAAGCAACTATAAAAGTGTCACTGTTTCTACAAAGGCCAACATGTAAAGATTGTAAATCTATAATCTGTGGTTATAGCTGGGTTCATCTTTTGCACGATGGAGAGGATGAATCTTAACTAGAACCACATGCCAGAAGCACATTTTTAAAATAACTATATGCATGATTCAGTATGGATTTTTTAAACAGTAATTCAGCTACAGTCAGTTTTTCTAATTCCCATTATCCCTTTTAAGGATTTGTTGTAAAGCCCAACCAAAAATCATCAGGAGTTAGAACAGATCATGCAGCTCTCTTCCCTCCTCCTTCCCTTCTTTCTGTCTTCATTTTGCAGTATTGTATTTCCACTATTTCCTGGTCTCACAGAAAGAGGCAGTGCTGAGTTAGAAAGACAAAAATAGACCTTTACAGAGAAATATAGGGATCGTAATTGTGTGTGTGTGTGTATGTGTGTGTGTGCGCGCGTCCCCGCGTCTTTATGTGTGTGCATGTTTGTGTGTGTGTGTATGTGTGTGTGTATGTATGTGTGCACGCGCATGCTGGTGAGAGGAAGACAGCATTAGGCTGATTTCCAGGAGGAGCCTTCTCTCTTTTCAGTGTGTGTTAGGCATTTTGTACAGATTTTCGTTCTGTTAAAAAACACTTACCTCTTCCGGAAGTTCTTTATATCTCTTTGGGGGAGGAAAAAGAAACCAACTGTGATCAGAAAACGGCCAGAAACCATTTTATTTGAACAACTGGTGGGAAGAAAAAGGAGAGATACCATCACAGGGATATAAATATCTTGTGATAAAAATATTTGTTTGAATAGAATTATATATCAGTAGTGCAGCCTGACGTCCACCCTGAGGGAGAGCAATGGGGTGTTTGGGCAACAGCAAAACAGAAGATCAGCGTATTGATGAGAAAGCGCAGCGAGAAGCCAACAAAAAAATAGAGAAGCAGTTGCAGAAAGAGCGACTGGCTTATAAAGCCACACACCGTTTGCTTCTGCTGGGTAAGAAGAATGGTTTCTGCAGGGTGGAGGGAGGAAGAACAGGGTGCAGTAGTGCAGTTAGTTTTTCCTGGGAGGCAGCAGATATTATAGACAAACTGCTATTTATGTGTAAGAGAAAATGAGATGGAAATAATAAAGAGTCCTGTTTTAACCAGAGTGGGTTTAAAATGGAGAGATTGACTAAAGTATATGTAACAATATTTTTGGGAGAAGAGAGATGCTTTCAACCTGTGTTTCCCATTTTCTCCTCTCCCCAATATATTTACAGCATGCATTTTTCTCTTCTTTTTCAGGGGCTGGTGAATCAGGAAAAAGCACTATTGTCAAGCAGATGAGGATCTTGCATGTAAATGGATTTAATTCAGAGTAAGAATTATTAATACGTACTGGGGTGGGGGGAGATTTAAAGAATCCAAATAGGCCATTTAGAACTCATTATCCCAAAGAGAAGAACTGATATTTGTACACATTTTGTCAGTGTTTCCATTACTCGATAAACATGGACTTTACAATGACGCATATATATTCCAAGAACCATGAATTTGTATTCTCCCCCCACACACACACACACATACATACACACACACAAAATCTGGTATTTCTACTGTATTTTACACTGTTGTTACTGCAGTGCTTAATAGGCCCTTGTGTAGCAACAACATGGCGACTACTTACAACAAATACTAAATATTGACTGTATGCATGATTAAAGATATATCATCCATTTGTTTGAAATAACTATTACCGAAAAAATGTAATAATTTTCATATTAAAATAACCATGGTTCATTCTTACTTGTGAGTAATATTTTACAGAGTATTTTAGAATTTAATAATAAGATAATTTAAATCGATTGAACCTCTGGAACTGAAGTCATAGAACAAGCAATCAGATGAAATGTTTCTGTCCTACAAAAATTCTTTCATATATAATTATTTGACTTACAATATATCATGTGACATTAATAATTTATTTTAGCTAACTTGTATGCCAAATTTTTTATCAAGAAATGAGTATAGTGATTAAAGAAAATAGTTTTTGGCATGGCAAATTATTACTTGGTGAACATGTCAGAAATAACTGGAGTAACCAATTGATTTTTGCTATTGTATACAGAGAAAAGAAACAAAAAATTCTGGATATTCGGAAAAATGTAAAAGATGCAATTGTGGTAAGAATATATTATTTGTTTTTTTATTATTTTTTTATATGCATATTCAGCAGTTGGATAGGGGGAAAATTGCCAGATAAGGCTAAATGAACTTCTATCAGTATTTAATATGTCCTGTTCTGATGTTATTTTTTTTCTAGACTATAGTTTCAGCAATGAGCACTTTAATACCTCCAGTTCCATTAGCTAACCAAGAAAACCAATTTCGAGCGGATTACATCAAAAGCATAGCTCCACTTTCTGATTTTGACTACACCCAGGTAACATTTCTTTTTCTTTCTCCTTCCCAATTCTCAAAAAGAGTAGGAGGGCTTATTTTCCATTTGTGAGGCCTGGACCTTGTGATAAAATTATAATTAAATTATTTGGTTTTGCAATTAGGAAAAAGAAGTTATTCTGATATAATGGTGCATTTTACTTTCCTAAAATATTTAAAATCAGTATAATGTTAATAACAGGTATGCAAAACTGTATCAGTTTTCAGTTTTATGGTTTGTAAAATTTGGAATTAGTTCTAACCTAGTGTAGAATTTTGGTGAAAATCAGTGCTGTTTTATTATCAGAAAGACTATTGCTTGTAGAAACTCCGTTTTCATCCTTATGAAAATGTTGATGCAATATTGTGATTTAGTTTGTGCTAGCCATTCTATAAGCCATTGTATAGCTTGTAAATAATTCATTTAGAGCAGAGGTTACTCACATGTATTACTTTGATACACACAAATGTTAAGGTTAAAATTTCTCAGTCCACTCCTTTCTTTTAGCCACCTACATCTATCAGTTTCCATCAGGGAGGTCTGCTAATAATTATATATAATGCATGAGCAAGATAAATTGATGATAAAAAGAGCAACATGTAGAATTCAGAGTACCAGATGTCATTTTCAGAAATTAGAGGGAGATCATAGATTTTTAGTAGGGAATGTATCTTCAAAGATTGTTGTTGTTTTTTAAGAGTATAGGAAAAGGCAGTATGGTGTAATGGGCATAAGACTGAAGTTCTGCAGGTTCCTATGCCCTGTTCCTCCTCCTGTTGTGTTCTGTAATACCATATACATGATTGTTTCCTTTTCATTTTGCATAATGAAAGGGAATAGAAAGGGACAGCTACTTCCTATTTCCTCATTGATGTCCTGCAGCCAATAAAAGTATTGAATGATTGACAGAAGTTTAAAATTGTTTGATTGTGCTCACAACTGGCAAATAGCAGTAAAATGTTCTTTTCTTTGTTGCACTCATTCTAATAATCCAAATATAACCTGAAAAAAATTACAGGCAGGATTACTTCTAGTATTGACGAAAATGAATTATGAGGATACCTCGGTAATAATGGAGATGTTTATGTGATTGTTTCTTTTCTTCTATATGTAACTGATGTTGTCACTAACTATGAATCCTGAACTTTTAGTCTATTTTTTCTGTTTTTCTTTTGGGGTAGCGTGGGGTTTATTACTAGTTTTGTTAAGAATCAGAAGTGGAATATGCATGTATGATTTTTGAAAGACACAAATTTGGTAGAGGATTATCTCTGGTTTAGGTTTGTGATATGGTACAGCTAGTATATTTCCAGATTTCAGTATATTTTTTGAAGAAATACAGCTTAGATGTTGTTATTTATTTGCATTAAATACAACTATTCAGAAAACTGTCCTCATATGCCTTGATTGTCTGTTACTTGAAATAATTTATTAAGAAAGATAAACTTTAGTTTAAGTTAGCTAATGTTTAACTACATAACTTTCAAAGCTTCAGTGTTGTACCAACTTTGAAAAAGCTATCACTGAATTCAGTGTGATACTATTTCTGTGGTATCAGTAATGTAGATTTGTCTTTTGTGTAATGCACAACTCTCTTACAAATGTAAAATGCCAGAGATACTAATTTGACTTTTAGTTGCAACAATGTTCTTCTGTCCTTTTATTTATTAAAGTTTGGTAAATACTATATGGACTTGATCATGTAATTCTTGTGAAGAGGCAGATTGGGAATGTCCCAATGTCAAATACTGCTACATCAGAAAATGAGAGATTTGGTTTAGACCTAATAATAGGAATGTTGCCATAAAGTGAACTTGTTGATTTTCTAACTTGGAAAAATCAACTATGCAGATTTAATAGACCTCTTTTGGATTGAAGAAACATAGAAGACCTTCTCAAAGATATGGCAAAGCATTTCTAAAAACATTCAAGCATAATAATATAGTACCCTGCTATTAAAAGCAGAGGCATCCGCAGGTGGTGGCTCAAAAAAGTCAAGATGTGACTGCATCATTAAAACCCCACCTCTTTTTTCTGTGTGTTATATTCATTGTATACATAGGAAAAGAGCCAGAGCTTTGATTGCACAGTTATATCTGTTGTCTTGACTTTTTTGACCCATACTGTGGATGCCCTGATTAAAAGTGGGAAAAGTCATACTTGTAAGCCCCTTGACTCAACTAACACTCTTAGGTTCTTAGCCAGTATATATTACATATAAACAAACACTGGCTGATATTTTTGGGAAGGAATTCCAGAATATCTTAACTTCAGCTTCTAATGCTGAATAACTGTTATGTGATGCTAACCTAGAATGTAGACAGTGTAATTTAAATGGGATAAATACATTCATTCTGTTCAACAACATCCTTAGGTTTAAAGCGGTGGTATCATTGATACAATGAACTTCCACCTTGACTCTGTTCCCTTCATTTTAGATCTTCAGTAGTGGAGGTGGTGGTGATACTACATTAATATCCTGGCTCTCCTTAGGGACCAAACAGCTTTCATGATGGAGTTACTTCATTTTATTCTTGCAACAACAGGCTTACAAGGTAGACTACCTCAAAGTCAATCCAGTTACACTAAAGTCGAGTGCACGCTGAAACCTGTCCCATTACCTTAATATTATTCAATACTGGTATTGTGCATAGAAACAGCCTTTTTGTATTTTAAGTGAGATGCTTAACTTAGCTTAACCACATATTTGTATAGGCACCAATATCCGTAAACTATGGGGAGTCAGATTTGAATTTCTATACCAGGAATGCTAATATATATATTTCCTTCTGTTATCTAATTGTGCTGTCTGAATGCATGTCCAGGGGAAAAGAGAAATCTCTGTTTATGGAACCTTCTGAATGCAATTGGATTTTCCCCCTACTAACATTATATAAGTCTACCACTACATAAATACAGATAGGATTTCAACCCTAATTGAAATTATATCTCATTTAAATCGGTTAAATTTAATTTAGAGTAAAATATGGTAAGGATCAGGCTGTAGGAATAATTATTTGAAAATGAAGCTCTCCTAAACCATCAAAATGTATTGGATATAGATTCAGGTTGTGTTACTAAGAAAACATTCATGTTAATATATAGAGAATTTCTATTCTATATAAACAGTAGTTTATATTAGTAAACTGCAGTAATTCTGACATCAGCTGCGGAATTAGCATTTCTTTATTGCCGCTGTGTGTTCACTTTATCAGATTATTATTCTGTTCTTAGATGATGCTCATTGCTTCTTACTTTGGAGTGATTAGTGAAGATATCTGAATATATTGAAAAGATGTTCTAATATGTTTTAATACAGAAATTATAACTTCAAATTACATCTGTATGTGTGTGGCTGTGTTTTCTATGCTATAAATCTTTAATTTTGCAAGTAACCATAGTTTGTTATGCTATACACAGCCCAGAGTCACATTGCTTGACTTGGGATGCCTTATCAATCTTATCAATAATTCAGTGTGTTATGATATGCAAAAATTTAACAAAGAAAATTGTATGAGCTATGGATTATAATAGATGAGTCATGATGGACTTGGATGGAGGCTGCCATTATTAAAGTCCTAGATTTTTTTGAAGCTTTTGATAGTGTTAGTAACATAGCCTCTGGCCTGCTTGCAAGTGTCGGGAACTGGAGACATAGTGTTGTGGTGGTTCTACTTCCACCTGAGTGGGCAGGTCCAGATGGTGGTATGGGATAAGAAGGTTGAACCAAAGGTACTTTATTATGGAGTGCCTGAAGATTCCTAATCTTATTCAATAGCCCTTGAAACCACTGAGAAAAGTTCTATTGGTTTTAGATGGGTGTGATAATTATACTGTATGCAACATTTCATTCACATGTCTCCACGCTTAGCCTATTGGGACATGTGATGGAAGTCATGACCCAATGTTTGAAGGCTATCAAGATCTGAATGGAGGAAAACAGACTCAAATTCAACTTAAAGAGCAAAATGTTATTGATTCCAAGGCTGACTGATTCCAATATTAATCAACCTTGGCTCTTGATAAGATTGTGCTTCCTCAGATAAAGCAGGCCCACAATCTGAGAGTCCTGGACTCAGCTCCCACTCAAAGAGTTGGTGGAGGCTATGACTAGGAAAACTTTTACACAGGTTTTGTTGGTGTGCCTGTTTTAGTCTTACAACAGGAACAGATTGCATTTGAGGTAATCATTCATACCCTTGTGATTTAAATATTAAATTACTGTAACTTGTTCCATGTAGGTTGTCCTTGAAGACCACTTGGAAACTTTAAATAGTCTAGAACATGGCAGCATGTACACCTCATGTGCAAGATCTACAATGATTACCAGTAATTCTCCAAGTGCAATTCAAGGTTCAGGTCATTCAGGGCTGGTTATCTTAGAAACTATCTTTCTCCAAGTGTTCTACCTACCATAAAAAACCATACAATATACTGAAAAACTAGGATATCCTGTTAAGGGTCCATAATTGTCAGGACATATGGCATGAATGTGTGTGTGATCATGAGCATTCTTTGTAGCTAGTCCCCTAATTTGGAATAGCTTCTCCTCTTGGATGAGTGTGGCCCCCACCCTCATGGCTTCCAGAAGTAGATAAAAACTTATCTTTTCTGGAATGGTTAATTAAAACTGTAGTGACATGTTAGCAGAAATATTTAAAGTAATGGTAATCATTTTAATATAGTGATCGTGTAAAAATAATTAGAAGGGGTTTACAGTTTCAATTAATTATTACATTGATTTATATGGTGTTTTATATGTAAGTTCTATAAGTCATCTAGAGTCCATTTGGTTATACTCTGATCTCAAACATAGATTGGAGAAGAGTGCCTCAGCCATAATTACATGCCTCAGCCATAATTAAAACTATGAATATAGTGGCTGAGTTCAGACATAAAGGAAATTCAAATTACATATCTTCTGGTATCTACATTACAGAAAGGAAATTGAGGAAGAGTATACAAGCCCAACATTTCAACAATATAATGTTGAACGTTGTATA